GGTCATTATCATAATTAAACATCTGTGCCATGTGGTCATACAGATTGTGATCAGTCCCCCCCACTCCCAAGATAAATAACCCCCTGAGAACCCAAGATTGTCCATGGTTTGGCTTATACTAAGAGATGGAGCAAGTTACTACAATTCCCCCTAACTGTGACTCACCACTCCTGTAACAACAGGGCATGCCAGAAATGGACGTAAAGGAGCAAATATGTTGGGGTGTGTAACGTGACACAGGAAATAAAACACAGTGAGAGTGTCTTTTTTTTAACTATATTTTTTCTCATTCGTAAGCGTGGCACAAATTTGAACTCGACCTAGGGTCGCAATAAACCAGTGGTTTGCCACCGTGTGACAGAGAGCATGTAAATGCATGAAATACTTCTAGGATCACCATTCTAAGTGCTGGCTACCAGATTAGGATATTTGTTTCAAGGTAGGATGAGTGCAGAATTATCCATCGGGGTGTGAATAGAAAATTCTAGAAATTCTATATGCATTTTATTTTTTTGAGATAGAGTTTTGCTCTTATTGCCCAGGCTTTAGTGCAGTGGTGTGATCTCAGCTTGCTGCAACCTCTACCTCCCAGGTTCAAGGAGTTCTTCTGCCTCAGCCTCCCAAGTAGCTGGGTTTACAGGTGCCCACCACCATACCCAGCTAATTTTTTTTTTTTTTTTTTTTGAGACAGAATTTTGCTGTTGTCGCCCAGGCTAGAGTGCAGTGTGCAATCTCAGCTTACTGCAACCTCTGGGTTCAAGCAATTCTCCTGCCTCAGCCTCCCTAGTGGCTGGGATTACACGGATGCGCCACTGTGCCCAGCTAATTTTGTATTTTTAGTAGAGACAGAGTTTCGCCGTGTTGGTCAGACTGGTGTTGAACTCCTGATCTCAGGCAGTCTGCCCACCTTGACCTCCCAAAGTGCTGAGATTACAGGCGTGAGCCACCATGCCTGGCGGTAGGTAATTTTTCTATTTTTAGTAGAGATGAGGTTTCACTGTGTTGGCCAGGCTGGTCTTGAACTCCTGACCTCAAGTGATCCGCCTGCTTCGACCTCTCAAAGTGCTAGGGTTACAGGTGTGAGCCGCTGCATCTGGCCTTCTATATGCATATTAAATGTGTATAAAATAAATATTATAATGAGCTCATATTATAAAATGAAGTGAGTGAGATTTGAAAAGATCCTTGTTCCAACTGAGATTTGAGAGACAAGTCATACCTTGAAGGTGTGCTTTCTGAAACAGGAGAAGTTCTCCCAGGATTCTGTGTACTTTCCCAGAGGTGGATGAGAAAGCTTAGAACTGTAACCTCTGTCCTAGAGGCCTGAAGCCAACTGTTTCCCTCTCCAGGTCATTTTGGAGAGCCAGCAGTTTTTCACAATCGTGCACTCGTGGCCTCAGTACTGCCCTCACTTGATCTACTCTATGGTGAACTACCGCAGTTCCCTCCAGCTCAGGTTTCCAGGAAACCTGGCCTAAATTTTCAAAAGGTGCAGCAAACAAAACTGCGGATGTTACTCTGAGAGCCAGTGAGAGAAGGGACACTTACACCAGCCAGGGGGATTTAAAATGCTGAACAATTCATTAGAAGGTGCTGCCATCCCCACTGGATACCATTTACCCAGCAATTTGATATTTAAGAAATGTTAAGTGTCAAATCATAGAAAAATATTATCTTCTATTATCTAGTTATATTAAATGCTTATATATCATATACATATATATATATTTTCACATCTCTAGCACTTTCAGGAGGTAGACTTTTAGTGTTATTGCTGTCTTTCTGAAATGCAGTAACAAAGATAGAAATAGTTGGCTAAAATTCTATAGATAGATAGTAGTAGGGCAGGATTGAAACTTGAATTTTTCATTCATAGTGTACAACCTTTGTCACCCCAGCTGGCTGCCTACTAACTTGGACTGGTGCCCTGAAGTGGCCTCACTGACTGGCAAGGGGTGGTCAATGTTCCCTGTGATGTTTCATCACAACGAGGAGTGTGAAGCCGCTTTGCAGATTGCTGATGGCTCAGGGAAACCTTTGGGAGTTATGTTCACTTGAAAGGTATTGACCATCAGCTGAGTGCAAGGCTTTAAGGAAAACGCTACGAGGAATTCAGAGAAGTATTATGCTCAGTCTCTGACACAGCCTCTATGCTGAGAGAGAAAAGACATAATATTTATATAAAATCAGTGGTAGTTAAACCACAGCGAGACCAACAGTAGGCAAATAATCCAATGGGCTATCAAGTGCTGTGAATTCAGACAGTGAGTCTTTCCCAGATTGTGCTGGGCTGGGAAGGTTCAGGGAGGAGCAGCTACTCCGGACTGGATGGAGAAGTAGGATTTAGCTAGGTGGGAACTGTAGTCTTTAGGGGAGGAATGGATCTAAGTGAACTGTGTCCCTGCCCTGGTCCACAAGCCTTTTCAGGTCCATTCACTGGACTACTGTATCTGAAGTAAAGGGGTCAAGTGGGAGAGAAGGGAAGTCGGAGCTACATGACTTCTTTTTTCTTTTTTTTTGATACAAAGTCTCACTCTGTCACCCAGGCTGGAGTGCAGTGGCGCATCGGCTTACTGCAACCTCTGCCTCCTGGGTTCAAGCAATTCTCCTGCCTCAGCCTTCCAAGTAGCTGGGATTACAGGCTCCTGCCACCATGCCTGGCTAATTTTTTGTATTTTTAATAGAGACGGGGTTTCACCATGTTGGCCAGGCTGGTCTCAAACTTCTGACCTCAGGTGATCCACTTGCCTCGGCCTCCCAAAGTCCTGGGATTACAGGTGTGAGCCATCACGCCGGACCTAGATGACTTCTTAAAGCTTTCCTTTCTTGACTGCCATCGGACTATTTAATCTTTACCGAAATTATCAAAAGCACTATTTTATCTGAGCCACTCGCATAACCTCCTACAGATGAAGGCATTCAGTGATTTATTAGTAGATAAATAACACTGGACTCTCATTTGGCCCTCTTAACGTGTTCAGTGTATTAATAGGAAAGCACTTTGGAGCTAAGGATGTCAAACATCTATATAAATAAAATCTAATCCTATTATAAACTCTGTCAGACTTGCAGGCAGTTGGTCCTACTCCATTTGCAATCTAACCTGGAAAGGTCAAATGACTTGTTGAAAGTCATGCAGAAATCCCTTGATGCTTCTGTAATAACTGACCCTGCTTCCCCTGACATTTGGCGGTGTCTAGCTTAAGTCACTTCACATATCTCCATAAGGTTAGTGACGCTAAGAATGACACTAGGATGACACTAGGGCCCTTGTCATCTATATAGCATTTCTCCTACTCATATTATACCCCATGGGGGCTCTCAGCTGTGACCGCAAAGGGTCCTTGTTAATTTTAAGCTTGGGGTGAGATCATTGTATCCTTCTCTGTCAGGCTTCTCCCTCGCTTTCATTGAAAGAAGGTACCGTTGTAGTGCTATGTGTCCATGCAAACACAGCATCTGAATCAAAGGGCATTCTGAAGCATTTTCCAGGCCAAATGCGGAGAAGTATAGTGGGACCATCAGTGGCTTTCTATCTACCTGAACTTTGAAGGTAGACACTAGACCCTTGCCAGCTTGATAGTCCCTCCGTTGGCTGCCCTTTGAAGTTAGCTAACTGGTTTAAAAAACCAAATGGGATACTTTAAATGAAAACGGACTTTATTTCACTGTTTGCCTTAGAAACGGAAAACATTTGTCTTAAGTTTTTCTTGGTTTTTGTTTCTGTTTTCTTTTGAGACAGAGTATCATTGTGTCACCCAGGCTGGAGTGCAGTGTCAGGATCTCAGCTCACTGCAGCCTCTGCCTCCCGGGTTCAAGTGATTCTCATGTCTCTCCTTCCCGAGTAGCTGGGACTACAGGCATGTGCCACCATGCCCGGCTAATTTTTGTATTTTCAGTAGAGATGGAGTTTCGCCATGTTGGCCAGGCTGGTCTCAAACTTCTGGCATCAAGCAGCCCACCTGCCTCAGCCTCCTAAAGTGCTGGGATTATAGGCGTGAGCCACCATGCTTGGCCCATTTGTCTTAAGCTTTTAAAAGATAATGCCGTCGTTAAGTGGATAAGGCTGGGGTGATCCATATTTGGTAGGTGTTGTTTAAATGTTGTCTATCATGTGAACTCAGAGCTGTCAAAAATACACTTTGTGTTTTTCCCCATCCTTGCCAAACATAAAATATTCATTTTTTTCTAAATCATTCCATGTCCCTACATTTCCCTCCACTTCAGACTTTGAACCGTTGAAGGACGGAAAACTTTTATCATTGCTGAAATTATCAAAAACACTATCAATAGCTATCATGCATTGAGTTTTACGTCCTCTGCTGAGTGGTTATACCATGTTATCTTACTTGATTTGCACCTCTGCGCTGTAAGGTCAGGAGGAGTAGCATCTCATCTAAGGAGTGAGACAAAGGCTGGAGCTAAGTACTTTGTCAAAGGTGGTAATGGAGCTGGGCTTTAAACCTACCTCTCTTCATCTCTGAGATCTAGAAGCTATGCCCTGAGTCACTGTGGTATCTGGAAGCAAAAGGAAATGTGCTCTAAAGAGTTAACAGGGGCTATCTGTGCACTCTGGCCACGCCCTGGGAGATGGCTGGTAGGAGGAAAACTGCTTTTGTTTTTGCAGGGCCAGTTCACAGTATCAGTAGGGCAGTCGAAACGCACTTTTTTTTTCTCTCTTTTTTTTTTTTCCTAACTCATCCTTATTATTTTTGTTACGATCTCTAAAAAGGTGGTGAGTTAGGGAGTGAGGATCTGTTTGAGTAAATCCAGCATGTTTCTCGGTCACCACCCATCAACCTAATTGGCATAGGCGGAGCTGTGCTGTCTGCAACACAGCAGGCTCCTCCAGCTGTGCCATCCATCACACTCAGGCACCCTGGAGCGCACATGCTCTGCTTCCGGTTGATTTTAAGTTCCCGATCCCTGAGCAGGCCTTGAGGAGGCAGTCCCAAGGAGTCAGAGTTGTTTGCTGTTGCATATCAGACTGGTCTGGGTGACTTGGCTGGTCACAGCACAGTGCTCCTCTGGGCCTAGGGACTGTGGTCTCTCTGTGATTTGGTTGCCATTTTCCTATGAAGAGGGTAGAGAATATGCACCCAGTCAGGTCAGGCACTTTGCAGAGGTGGGTCCTGGCTATAAGAAAGCCAGAAAAGAGGGCAGGTTCATTTATACACGTATGTTTCTACTCATAGGAAAACAACTCACAAGGCAAAAAAGTACATCTCATGGATGGAGCAGGGCGAAGTGGTTACAAGTACAGACTGTGGAGCCAGACTGCCTGGGTATGAATTGTGCAGTTTCAGGTAAGTTATTTAATCTCCTTGAGCCTCAGTTTCCTTATCTCTATAAAGGGAACCTACTTCATAGGGTTATGAGGATTATATAATAATTTAATTAAATGAGTGGTAAAGCACTTTGACGTCAATGTCTGAGAGATGAGAAGTATTACGTAAGTGTTTATCAAATAACACATAAAAATAAAGCGATAGGTGAACATCATGGTATGTAGGTTACACAGTGCCGTGTTAGACGAAGCTTACATGACTACCTCAGTTAAGGTACTCATGGTCAGTTATGCTCAAATGACATCTTGTGAAGTGTCCTAGGGAAACTAGCCGTTTTAAAGAATCATGTGAGAAATATGTTTGTAAACTGCCTTTTTGTAAAATGAACATGAGAGAAACTGTGTCAGAGGAAGAGAGAAGTCAAGGTTGGACGACTCGATGTTTCGGGCAAGGGAGACTGGAGAGGTAGAGTGCCATCATCTTGGATGGGAGGGGTTTCTGCCGCAGTAGTTTCAGGGGAGGGAGAGTCGCTGGTCAAATCTGGATGTGTTAGGGGTGAGCGTCTTGTTAGACGTTGAAGTGAAGATGTTCAGTGGGCACTAGAAGTCAGGTGAGAAGTCAAGGCTGGAAGCATCTGTGTGGGGATCCCTAGCTCGTAGATGGAATCTAAAGCTGTGAAGGAATGAAGGTATTTAACAGCTGGAGAAGGGGTCCTAGGATTGAATCAGGGGGCATTCTAGCTTTATTGGGAAAGTCAAGCTGGCTCGAGTTTTCTAGTTTGTGCTTTTCTTCACTTTGCCAGTGTAGAATGAGGTATGGACCCGTTGGCATTTTCTTGGGGTGGTTTTACCATTGAGCTCTATAATGCCATGGTTAAGTGCCTGAGTTAAGACTAGGGTCGGATACCATTTGACCTCTTACTATCTTTGGGCCCTTGGGCAAGTTACTTATTCTCTGAGACTCAGTTTCTTTGCCTGTGAGATGAGAACTAGTGGTTAAAAATGCCCATCTCATGGGTGTGAGGGCTCAGTTAGTGCGACATTGATGCTATGAAGCTGTTCACCACTTTATCTCTTGAAAGATTCTCACCGTTCATTATATTTGTTAAAAGTGAGGAGTGGTGACAGTCACACATGTTTAAAGCCCTTTGAATTTGCCCTAAGCTGAAATCCACATTTTAATTCAACTTATATTGCTACTGTTTTTCTTCTTTTAAAAAAGTAAAAGAGGTCAGGGAGATACTATAAGTAACTACACACATATGCTAGCGACTTATGTTTTCTCTGTAATTGAAACATTACATCCAGTGATCAGATCTGGCCTCTGTATGTGGTAATTGCTACTAGAATCACAGATGCTCAAGCATTCAGAGATATGAAAACTGACACACAGAACAAAAGAGATACCACTGGATGACAGTGTTTTAGTATTACATATAATAACCTCATATTTGCTCTTTGCCACCATGAGCCAGTTAAGAGGTTTCTCTCATTCTTCCCTAAGATACTGACCAATCTTCCCTACCATTTTTTTTTTGTTGTTGGTGGTGGAGTTTCATTCTGTCGCCCAGGCTGGAGTGCAGTGGCACGATCTTAGCTCACTGCAACCTCTGCCTCCCGAGTTCAAGTGATTCTCCTCCTTAAGCCTCCCAAGTAGCTGAGATTACAGGCATGAGTCACCATGCCCGGCTAATTTTGTGTTGTTAGTGGAGATGGAGTTTCCCTTTGTTGGCTAGGCTGGTCTCGAACTCCTGACCTCAAGTGATCCACCTCCCGCCCCTCGGCCTCCCAAAGTGGTGGGATTACAGGTGTGAACCACCGAGCCCAGCCTTCTCTACTGTTTTAAATCCAAGTTTTACACTTGGTTGGAAAATTCCTCTAATACATTTTATTTCACTCAGCAAATAATAATATTCTGAATCTGTTTGTAAAAAACTCTCACTCTCAAAGCTAAATAAGAACCTAGAGATGTGGAGAATCACATTCTGAAGTCTTGTCACTCCATCCTCTAATTAGTATGTCTGCTGTGTTTGCATTTGTGGTTTATATGCTTTGAATTTGTAGCTTTTCTGTTTTGCAAGGGTTACTGTCAGTGAGACGGCTACCAAAAGAAATACTGCTATTAGTGGTGTCGGGACCAAATGTATGTAACAGTGTGGTGTGTTTCTAAATCCCTACTGTGGCTTTTGAGAAACCATCTCTAGATGGTTGTGGGTGACGTGAGGACTGAAAGAAAAAAACTTTAGAAACAGCAAAGCAGAAACATTAATAGGAAGGAGCTTCTAGTGATTAAATTTTTCTTTTGGTCTTTCAGGTTGAGGAAGTAAGGAGGGTAGGCATAAATGGTGGGAAATTTCCATCAACTTGATAAAAACAATAGAATACATAATTCTTAGCCACTGAGATGAGAGCCCAGGAAGTCACAAGGTCAAAGGATCCTGTCCCATTTGTCTGTGGTGACAGTCTCTCCTCCCCCTACAAGAATTGCCTTACCCTTAAATAATAGAAGTGCCCCTGAGAAGTTGAAGAAATGCATGCTGATGGAATTTTTAAAAATCAGATACATTTTAGAAGTGATTATACTTTTCTATATTTTCCAATTTATTTTTAGTGAGAGTATATTCTGTTTATAATAAAAACAGAAATCGAAAAAATATATATATTTTTGATACGGAGTCTTGCTTTGTCGCCCAGGCTGGAGTGCACTGCCGTGATCTTGGCTCACTGCAACCTCGGCCTCCCGTGTTCAAGCGATTCTCCCGCCTCAGTCTCCTGAGTAGCTGGGGTTATAGGCGCGCGCGACCACTCCCAGCTAATTTTTGTATTTTTATTAGAGATGGGGTTTCATCATGTTGGCCAGGCTGGTCTTGAACTTCTGACGTCAAGTGATCACCTGCCTTGGCCTCCCAAAGTGCTGGGATTATAGGCATGAGCCACCGCCCCCGATTAGGAAAAATAAATTTAAAAGAAGGAAATAAACTAGGAATGTGGGAATGAGTGAGTTGTCACATTGAAAGGTACTCATTTGCTCACATTTTATAATGTGAGAATTCTTTTGTTCTGCAAGCTGTAACGTTTCATAGCATACCTGCTGTCCACATTTAGAATTTACTTTAAACGTAGGGGATGTCAGTAGGGCATTTCATGTATCAAAACCTCAGACTCCACTCTACCAAAGCAGCCAAGCCTCACTCAACAGACATCGACTCTCACGCTGTGCCAAGCCCACCCAGCGTGTCCTGGTTCCTTGTGGCTGTCCCTGGCAGTTGGATACACCCACACGCCCCTGCCTTCAGTCAGCAGACACAAACTTGGGATGCGTCTGTTTCTTGTTTGTGAGAGGCCTGGTTCACAAGGATAACATCACGATCAGCCTGGGGCCCCTGTGCAGCTGCCCCATGAGGCCACTGCAGCAGCCTGCGTTTTAGCCTTTGGCTGGGCTGTTTTGGTTTTATGCCCATGTATCAGTTTTGTTGGGGGAAGAGGGAGGGGAATGATTCTCAGAAAAAGGAAGGACATATCCTCCGCTTTGCTGAAAACGGAAATAAGGAATTATCAGTTCAGGGTCAGTAGAAGCCACAGGGCCTGGCTTCCTTCTGTTGGGCTCCTTTGGAATAATTTTGTTTCGTTTTGAAAGGCCCGAAAGCAACTTGAGCCAGATAAATTGTTCTAGGGTGACAGTTTTTAACAGGGAGTCCACAGATCCCTAGGACTTTGAGAAGTGTGTCTGCGAAGTGCCTTAAGTTATAATTAATGTTGCATGTACTTGTATTTTTCCAGAGATGAGAGTCTCTGGCTTAAATTATAACTCGGAGATTCAGAGAGCTATAATTTTTTGTTTAAAGGCTGAGAACCAGTTTCAAGGAGAGGCCTTCAAGTCTGAGTTGTACATCTTGGTCTTGGCCCTAACTTGAGAACTCTTCCTGATTGGTGACTCGTGTATGTAGTGATAATATGAAGAAAAGTGTGCAAAGCACCTTAGGTATACCTATAGACGGTCATGTTGCAGGAAGATGAAGAAGGTTTCACTTTTTCAAGTGCTGGCAAGCTAGAAATCTAGAAATCGTTTTTTTTTTTTTTTTTTTTTTTTCTTTGAGACTGTCTTGCCCTGTTTCCCAGGCTGGAGTGTGGTGGCACCGTCTCATCTCACTGCAACCTCCGCCTCCAGGGTTCAAGCGATTCTCCTACCTCCGCCTCCTGAGTAGCTGGGATTACAGGTGTGCACCACCACACCCAGCTAATTTTTTGTATGTTCAGTAGAGACAGGGTTTCACCAGGTTGGCCAGGCTGGTCTTGAACTCCTGACCTCGTGACCCGCCCGCCTCAGCCTCCCAAAGTTTTGGGATTACAGGCGTGAGCCACCACGCCTGGCGTGGAAATCTAAAAATCTTAGGTGGACCCACAGAAACCCATGCACTTACTGAAGCCCATGCTGCAGAAAGATGAAGGTTTCACTGCTTCAGATGCTGGAAAACTGGGAATCTAGAAATCTGGGACCCCTGCAGTTCTGTCCTAATGCCTCCTATTCTCTCCTTTCTCAAGCCCACTCAGAGCTCCCTTAATATTCTGTATTATCATAGTATTGATTCGTTGGAATGAACACAAATATCTCTTTTACCTGGTGTCTTAGCATGTTTGTGTTGCTGTTAAGGAACACCCGAGACTGGGTAATTTATAAAGAAAAAAGGTTTATTTGGCTCATAGTTCTGCAGGCTGTACAAGAAGCATGGCACCAATGTCTGCTTCTGGTGAGGGCTTCAGGTTGGTTCCACTCAGGATGGAAGGTGAAGGGGACACAGGTGTGCAGAGATCACATAGTGAGACAGCAGAAATGAGAAAAAAGGGGAGGTGCCAGGCTTGGTTCAACTTCAGTTCTCATGGGAACTGAGTGAGAACTCACTCCTGTGAGAATGGCACCAGGCCATTCACAGGGATCTGGCCCCACAATCGAAACACCTCCCACCAGGCCCCACCACTCACATTGGGGATCAGCCTTCAACAGGAGACTTGGAAGGGCCA